GGTGTTACTAGGGTGATTCATGATTGTTAGGTACGGACTTTACCAGTTGAGCCATGCTTCCAGCCTTTTGTGCTCTGATTATTTTGGAGATAGTGTCTCAATTTTTGCCCATGTTGGACTGGACTGTCATCCTATTTTATGCTTTCCTCCATAGCATGGATAACAGTCATGCACCACCACACCCAGCCTTTTTCTGTTGAGATGGGGATGGGGTTGGGGGTGGAGGAGGTCTCTCACTTCTTTTTTGCCTGGGTTGGCCTGGAACTACAGTCTTCCTGATATTAGTCTCCTGCATAGCTTGGAATGATAGGCATACACAACCTCACCCAGCTACTGGTTGAGATGGGGTCTCATTAACTTTTTGTCCAGCTTGTGTCAGAATGTGACCCTCCTGATTTTAGCCTTCCAAGTAGCTAGGATAGCTTGTGTGAGCCCCCAGCCCCCAACTTACCTTTTCTTTTCTTTTTTCCCTGATTAAACTTCCACTTCCTCTGCTTGCCTGCTTTCAGCATAATTTGTCACCTGAACTGTTTCAGCAGCCTCCTCATCTTCATTCCATTATGTAGACCCTTCTCTAGATAGGGGTAGACCAGAATTGATGATCTACGTCAAATACAAATAAGATGTCATATTATTTTAAAGAGTTTTTTTGGTACTTATGGGGTAGAAGTCTTAGTCCTTAGGATGGCTTATGAAGTTTTTCATAACCTGGTTCTTATCTGATTATTCAGTCTTCATCTGTTCTCTCTAACTTTATGCTGTATCAGTGAAAGCTACATATAATTTCCTAATAAGCTGAACTATTTCTGTAAAATGTGTGATTTAGATTTTGGTTGTTTCTGCTGGTGTGGCTTCCTAACTTTTTTGAATCTAGTAAAAGTAGTCTATAAAACTAAACACAGCTTTATATCCTGCAAAGTTTGTTTGTTTGTTTATTTATTTTTACTCATTTTGGTAGAATTATTAACACTCTGTTTTTAACACCGTAGTATTCTTTATACATAGTGTTCTAATATTTGTCCAGTCTGTTTTTCCTCCAGACAATTACTTGTTTCTCTGATACCTGTCTTAGATTTAGCTCACATTTTGAAACTTTAAGAAGTATTTCTTCCATTAGAAAGTTAAGACTCTGTCCTAGGAGAGACTGGATTATTGTCATCATTTATTTTCTAGCATCTGATGTATTATAAAATATCTCACATAAAATGAAATTTTATTCCTGCACTGAAACTTGTTCTGGGAAAAGTCAATGGAAGTATAAGAACCAAGGAATTATTATATATTAATACTCATTGACTTTTAAGTAGACATTGACTTTTAAGTAGGCATCATCATTTAATATTTCTCAGTAAGGATCTAGGATTCAATGGTAGTTACTCTTTTGGGTTTGTGTAAAATACTTCAGACACTTTGGAAATAGGTGTCTTTAGGTATTTTCAAAGCATAAATACAAAGAAAGCTACTTTTAGAAAAATAACATACTGATCTCAAAGATCAAATAGTCCTAGTGGGATAAATTCTGTATGATGAAGTTTCATATATTCTTGGCAATATGTTCATTTTGTTTGGAAATTAAGCTTTTTGCATTAGGCAGGCTTGTTTCAGTTTAGTAACTTAGTTCTTTGTGGCTCTTATAGAATTGTTTACATTTATTTGTCTTGACTTTTCTCACTTTTACCATAAGTTTGAAGTAGGATTAGAGGGGGTAGCTGAAGAATTTAAGTTGGGTGCCTGTGGCTCATGCCTATTATGCTAGCTATTCAGGAGGCTAAGATCGGGAGGATCAAGGTTCAAGGCCAGCAGGGGTAGATAGTTTGCAAGACCTCATCTCGAAAATAACCAGAGCAAAATGAACTGAAGGTATGACTTAAGCAGTAGAGCACCTGCTTTGCAAGTACAAAGCCCTGAGTCCTGAATTCAAACCTTAGTCCCACCAAAGTAAAAATAAATAAAGAAAGAAAAAGAACTTAAGGTTTATTTTCATAGGAGTATATTTTTAATTGAATTTTTGTGTTGTACATTAAAAATCCTTTTAATTATGACACAGTTTGTCATGGCTATATTAATTAAACAAGCCTCATTTATTTGATGGAGGAGGCAAAGTAATATTGACTAATTAATTCATATATACCTGCTATAGAATAAGGATATATGTGAATGCTTATTGATTTTTAGAAGTGAACAGTCTCTATCAAGAATATTATTCTCAGGATCACCAGGGTAATTTATAGGAATCTGGATTTTTTTTTTCTTTTTACATGTGTCATTTCTTACTTCTTTTAAAAAATTATTATTTTTATACTGGAGGCACATTGTGACATTTACAAAAGTTCTTAAAATATGTCATAGTTGAATTCACCCTCTCCATAATTCTCCTTTCCACTTTTCATTTCAAGAAATTATTAATTTTTGGCAGTCCTGGGATTTGAACTCAGAGCCTTGCACTTGCTAGGTAGGCACCCTACCTAACCATGTCCCCAGACCTCAAAAGAGCTTCTAAGTGAAGCTGGGTAATGGTGGCTCACACCGGTAATCCTAGCTACTCAGGAGGCAGAAATCAGGAGGACCATTGTTCAAAGCCAGCCTGTATAAACAGTTCATAAGATGCTATACTCCATCTTGGGATAAAAATCAAAAAAATCTTCACAAGAAAGGGCTGGTGGAGTGGCTTTAAGTGTAGGCCCTAAGTTCAAACTCCAGTACCACTTACAAAAAAAAAGCTTTAACTTGGTAGGAATCCAAGAAGACAGAAGAGTAATCCCCAGTCAATAACTGGTTTGTGTCATTTGAGGTTCACTGTGTATAATGAGATATTACTGGTGGGACTAGTTGTCACTGTAAACAATAAGAACTATGCTTACATAGTGTATCTATCTCCCATTCTTCCTTCTTTCCTTCCCTCCCTCCCTCCCGGTTTACATAGCATATTTCTTTATGCTTCTGCAGTAAATTGTCGCTTCTCAGAATATAACAAATGCTACTAAGTTTGTTGTAATGTATACAAGTTTGTTCTGATGTATATAAATTGTGAATCACTTAGTAGAATAATGAAGGGGAAAAAAGAGTTATGCCTTGGGCATTGGGAGGAGTTACAAAGCACAGTGAAAGCAGGTTGGAATCAGATCATAGATTTACCTGAAGGAAAGTAATCCCAGTCCTTAGAATGTTCTCTTGAATCAGAGAAGATAAGTTTGAGGGAGACAATAATACTTGATGAGACATTGTGAAACGATGGGCAAGGCTGTGATGAAGCCTGTGTAGGAAAGAATTTGGCCAATACCATACAGCCTTGGTAATAAATTTATAAGACATATACTGTAGATAAGGTAGACTTTCCATTTCAAAGAATCCAGACTACTTTGTCAATGTGGTTCCTTTAAGATAGGTTTCAGAGACAGTTAGATTACTAACATTTGGTTGGTGAGTCAGCCACTGGGAGAAAAAGTATTTTTTTTAGAATGCATGTTAATTGTTATAAAAAATGAATTTATGCATGTCTGGAAGTTTCTATTCAATGAGGAAAGTAATAGAAATTAATTAATTATGTTGTAATGCCGTTAATAATCTCTTTAGAGTATTGTTGGTGACTTTGGTGACTTTTTAAATTTACTTAGGTTTTTTTTTTTCACTTGTACTCTATTGATCACTCCCCCTCTCCCCCAATGTCTTAACTTCTCAGTCATGATAGTTTTTAGGAACTGGTGGTAAAAACAAGTCCAAAATTAAAAGTTTGTCTTTTCTTTAGACAGAGATGACAGTTCTACACTAACAAAGCAGGAACTTAAATTCATAGGTATGTACCAAATTCAAGCATGATTTTCCAGAGGTAATAATGTTAAATTAATCCTATGGTAGCTTGGAAACCTTTCCATATAAAGTAGAGATTTGTAGTTGCAAAAATGATGCCTGAAAGGATTTATCCACAATTTTGGATGGAAGGTGGGATGAACTATATTATTGACATTCTTGTTGTTACATTTGTTTGGATTTGTCATATTGTTTTAAGACAAAGATGGGTTTTAGAATTTCTAAAACTTCATTTGTAAGGGGTTATGTGCCTAGGTCTTTGATTATTAATTCTGCTTTCTGCGTTTGTGTTGAGGGAGGGAAGAATCTGAGACTAGTGGTATTATGTATAATAAGTCTCTAAATCTTTAATTTACCTCTCGAATACTTCTGGATTAGTTGGGAGTGAGCGCATGTGTTCTGAAATAGAAAATGCCAACTAATTATGCACCTGCCCTAGCCCTTTCCCCAAAGTCCTTAGTTTTCACATGGTGACAACACTGAACTTGCAGGCTGTGGGAATTGGCTATATGGAGCCTTCCTTATTAAGATTGTCTTAGCTTTTTCCATTTGACAAGTATTTATTAACTTCTTTCTAGAGGTAAGATCCTTGTTAGTTGCTTTGGAGAAATAAGTATGCACTGCATACAAGAAAGAGAAATGTGTATTAGTAGCAATTTTAAGAAATATAGCTTCTTTTATGATCTACAGTAAAAGGAGTTTAAAATTAGGGATAGTTACTTTCAACTGAAGAAATAAGATATTCAGAAGATATCTTATTTATATAATTTAACTACTTGGAGATGGAGTTCAGAGCCAGACTCTCAATCTCAGGTACACAAAATATCACATGCAGTCACAAAGAAGTACACACAGGCTGCGATAAGGGATAGTGACAGAGATAATGATATTTGACATGAAACATGAAAAACAGCAGCCTTAGCTTTTAGGCCAAGAAGGCAAAGACAGCTGATATTTAAGTTGGGGGAAAGATAGTAAATCCCGTTCTTTAGGAAGGCTCACCTGGTGATTGCATATAAAAAATGGAAAAGAGCTAATGCTAGAACAGAAAAATCAAATAAGTTTTTGTTACAATATAGTCAGGGGTCCTCAGTGAGGATAGTGGAAGCCAGACTGACTACCCAGGAAAACCTGATTGTAGTTGCGATTGATTTGAATGGTAGCTGGTGAGGAGAAGTGTTCATTTACTAAGAAGATATTTAGCATACAAATTAATAGAACTTGAGGGAATTATAGTTAATACATGTAGAGATCATAACAGAAACTTTGAAATTGGTCATGACTAAGAAAGAAATTGCATCAGGTATTTATTCATTTATATCTATCTGTCTGTCTGTCTATCTGTCAGGTTTCACTGTGTTTCCCAGGCCGGTTTTGAACTCCTGGGCTCAAGTTATACTCCTGCTTCAGCCTCACAAGCACTGAGACTGCAGGCATGCGCTACTGCTCCCTGTGGTATCAGGTGTATTTTAAAATAGGGAAGACTTAGACTGGAGCATGGCTCAAGTGGTAGAGTGCCTAGCAAGTGCGAGGCCCTGAGTTCAGTGAATAAAGAGTTGAAGTAAAGAACAGAATAAGTAGGATGAATAATACACTGCATGCAGCTAAGAAACAAAGTAATGGCAAATCAGATGAAGGAAGTCCTTCATGTGTTCATTTGTGTATAAAATACAATGGAAGATAGAAATAGAACCCAGATACATGAGCCCCAGCTAGTGAAAGAAATAAAAATGGAGGGGAGGAAATAAATGGAGAAGAGGGAATAATTCAAATAAATAATATTCCTTTATATATAGAATGAGGCAGACAAACAGAAATCTTAGATTGAAGTGGCCCATAGAGTGCCAAACAGAAAAGATTGAAGGAAAAAATCCTCACACAGACATTGTAGAAAAAATATTAGTGACACGAAGAGAATCCTAAATCATTGGATAATTAATACTGAACTGCCTCTTAGGGAGAGAGATATAAAAGGACTTAATAGAGAAAAGAGTGATTTTTGTCATAAGGAAATGTACATATGAAAAAACTAGACTTACAGAGGCATTTATTAGACTGGAGGTGTGGCTTTGTCAAGTGTGAAGCCCTGAGTTCAAGTCTTAATCCCACCAAACAAACAAGAACAACAAAAACAAGAGACATTTATCTAGGAATGTAAAGATAATGCTCATTTCTTGTAGCATCTTCTGGGTTTGTCAAATGATATTTAGGAAGTTTATGTATCAACTTGGAAATACATGTTATGTATTTCTACAACACTGTGTTAGTCTGCTTTTTGTCACTATAACAAATACTTGATATAATCAACTTACAAAAAAAAATGTCATTTGGTTCACAGTTCTAGAGGTTTCAGCCTATAACTGATTGGCTCTTTTGCTTTGGGGCCATTAGTAGGGTGGCACATTATGGCAAGAACACATTGCAGAGCAAACACTCTTACCTCATGGCTAGAAGGTCTAGGAGAGGAAGAAGAAGGGACTAGGGTGGGTTCCATTATTCCCCCTGAGGGCATACTCGCATTGACCTAAAGACCTCCTACTAGGCCCCACCTCTTACTGCCTCCCAATAGTGTCTCCCTGGGGAGCAAATCTCCCAAAGGACAATTAAGATTTAAACTACAGCAGGTACCAAACCCAGAACACCAAACTGTATGTATAGTATGCATAAAATAATATATACATGACAAAGCACACAACTTATCCATGGCTCTTGTTTTTATGGTGCTCAGATTCTAGTTGGAACATTCAGCCATGTACCAAGTAACTACAAAGTTATCATTGTAGGTATATTAAAATTAAGAGTTCCAAGGTAGTCTTCTTTTTGCCTCCATTTTCTAAAATTTCAGGGGGTCATTGCTTTTGTGTTTTTATTTAAAAAGAGAGGCAAATTGTTTTAATAGCAGCCATGTCTAATAAGATTATGTTCTCCATTTTAGTTGACATTTTCCCTTCAGTTTCCTTAAAGAAATAGCAAAAGAAAAAAAAAATCACTGTGCAGCAGCATTTCATGATGTTTCACTTTTGAGCTTATGATTGGTATTAATTTTGGAGTGTTTCATCTTAGTTGAAGTACTCTCCTTCATTAACTCCCATGTTTTTATGCTTCTTTTGAGATAAGTACTTCTAGAGGAAAAAGAATCACACTGTAGTACAAATTCGTGTCTTCATAGATTCATGATACTCACTTAAGTTTACTTTTTGCCAGGAGTGTTAACGTTTTTTTTTTTTTTTTTAAACTCCCTTCCTTTCCTATCCCCATACTCCCAGGAAAAATCTTCCTTGTCTTTCCAAAGCCAAATTTGAAAACCTGCTCGATGTTATCCATCCTCTTTTCCTTCCATTCAGTCCTGCTTGAAGTCAAAAGCTTGTCCTTAGATGTGCTCTGGATTTTATCTTTTTCTGCCTTCTTACAGATCATGCCATTTTAGTTTTCTCGCTTTTGCATCTAAACATACTCTATTGTCTATCTTCTTAAAACTATAGCACCAAACAACAGAACCCCCCCAAAAAACAATTCTTAAATTCTTTTATTCCTACATTCCTATTTGTGTGCCTACCCCTCCAACTTCTACCACTGCTTACTTATTTAAGAACATTTCTTAGTTTCTGTGACATGTCTAGTGTGACTTCACTGTTCTTGGGAATTCTTGTGCTTCCTGATAGAATTCATGCCTTTCATCATGTACATAATCTTAGCCTTTGCATTTATAGTATGGCTTCTCATTCTTTCCATTCTATCATATGGAATTTTTGTTAGACATGCTTTGGTGTGAGTTTTGTACTTCATGTCCCTTCATGTGTTTTATATTTTCCATTTCTTTATCTCTCTCTTCTAGATCCTGGGTAATTGCTTCACCTGACTATTGAGTAAAGAATTTTAGTGAACGTGTTTTTCAGTTCTTGAAATTCTTTGTGGTTCCTTTTTAAAAATAGCCCTTCTTTGGTTTTCTTCTTCCTCTCCCATTCCTCTCCCCCTCCCCCTTTTTAAAAATACATTTTAAAAAATTAGGATATATTCATTACATGGGGGGAGAGTCATGGTGACAATTCTGATTAGACTTATATTGTACATTAGTTACATTGCCCCCATCATCTTCCCCTCACTCTCTCCCCTTCCCACTTAGAGCAATTGCAAGAGGTTTCTTTGCCCTATTTCATACAAGTATATGAAGTCCATCAACCATATACCCTCACCGTAATCTCCTCCATTCACCCTCCTACCTCTTACTAGTACCCCCCCACATACTGTACCTATTTTACAGTTCTGTTTTTCATTATTAATATTTAAGTTGATGTTGAAAGGGGCATCTTGGTGTATGCCCACTGGAGGTATACTTGGTCCATTCAACCCCTTCGATTACTCTTTCTTATCTTTTTACCTCCCGCCTCCCATTTTTCAACAGTGTTTAGTACACATCCTTATATCTCCCTTCTCTTTTAAAAATCTTAGACTATTTTCTACCAACTATATCAACCATAAACCTTCCATCATGTAGGAAATGTACATTTCTATTTTGTAGCATACAATTATAATCTCAGAACCATTTTGTGTATCATATACATCCTAAAATTAACCTATATTGGCTCAAATACGTGAACAGGGAAAAGCACAGTGGGGTAGGCAATATTGCAAACAAATGTTGGAACATTCTTGGTCAAGTATGTATGTGTTTGTGGTCCCCCCTTAGTTTATCAGGAAAATATTCCAGTATTAATTCTTCCCCCAACTATGTAGTACAGTACCTCCTATCTGCTACATACTCTCTTAAGCTTTCTTTGTGAAGGAGACAATATGGCGCATGAACTAAACAACACTTAAGATGATTCTTACAGAATGAATGTTTACAAGGGGTTGAGTGTTTACTGGCTCAAAACAACGTCATGCAGACAGAACAATCAAAATCAGATTTTCATTAATTTTTCTGGCTTGTTGCCATAAGCTAACTAAATACGTACTTCATGAGAAGTTTCTCCTTGTTTTTTTTTT